AGTATGATATATCGTTTCCCTCAACTCAATTAGGCATTCAGCAGTAACCGATAACCCAAATGCTTGTGCGTACACTGTTCCTAGGCACCGCTTTTATTTCTTAACTGCCTTAATTACACGCCAAGGTTCTACTGCGCAGTTTTCGTTTCCGCTGTATTTTGGAACTATCCAGTTTACCACATGCACTATATCACAACTCCACCGACTTATATTCCTCTGAGAATCAAAACAACTCAGAGAATTAAAAAGGAATTATAATTTCAAAGAAAAAACAGAATTATGAAGCAACAGCACGCAAAAAACCAACACTACTCGTTCCCATTTTGTCATGTATTTTGCCATTCATCGGCATATAAAATTCAACAGAAGTTCAATACAGGTTTTAGTAAACAGAACAAGTACTTGAGGTAAAGGATTACCCAAAATGGATTCATGGAGAGGTAAATTCTGCAGTAAAATCCTTCAGGGAGTCACAATTAAACCACTTCATAATTAAATGGTTTATACTAGTAGTAGCTCCAATTATCTTTGAATAGCACACTCACTGACTTACTGCTGTCATGTACCTCGGTCATACGGATTCTGATGTCACTGGACACAGTTTAATATCATGGGGTGTGGCAATAGAAATTACGGTCAACCAACGAAATAAAACCTGTAATTGTTTTTCAAACATTAGTTTTGGAAATGCGTTTGATGGACATTTCAGTTTAAGGTTTAAAAGCAACCTCAACTCAAAAATAATTCATTTAATGAATTTCATCTATACACAAGTACACTTTTTTACACTTCGTTTTTAATTCACAAGTGCATTTACGTGAGAATGACACTTGATGTAAAATTTCTGTTATAAATGAACAATAAAGTTTAAACTAATGTGTGCTCAGCGAAGCAAACTCAAGATTTGTGGAACCTCAAAAAATATATATAATGATACAAATAAAATTGGTGTATATTACCCGTAAACATGGGTACTTTGGGGGTTGGCCTTTCGTTCCATAGAGAACCTGGACCAACAGATCGAGTGCCCTGTTGTATCTACCTGCCAAATCTCACGAGATCACGGCTTAGTCAGAGCTCTGACAGCCCCCCTCACGAGGCCTAACTAGCTCGGGCAAATTGCCAGGTTTAAGACGCGTTGAGACAACAAGCCCTGCTGACGACATCATAATCGGCCATTATGGAATGGTGTTATTGTTTTCATTGATCATTAAGATTATTCTGGTCAAGGAAAATGACTGGGGTGTGTAGGCCTATAAAGGAGCGCCTTGAAGGCAAAATAAATTAAATACGAAATAAATTATGTTTAGCAACATTCACCATATTTCACAACTCTTGCACTACGGGTAGGTGTCTTCTTGCCGTTCGTAAAATTTAAAATAATTGACACCAGAATGTTTGTGAAAAGGGCAAATCCGAAGGATTGACGTCTCATGAATCAAAATCTGCATGAGAATGTGGCGACTGCATGGTAACTAAAAAGAAAACTATAGATTTCGTTTTGGTTGTTTAGATTTTGGTGCCGTTGTAAGAACACAGAATATAGGGGTATCGCACCGAGTGAAGATGCTAGTGGCAAAACCCCCACCTTATTGGGTGCCTGGCACAAGTCGTAAGGACGGAGGAAATCAGACAAAAATTCCCCCACGACTACGCGCTTGCTTTAGTGACCTTTAAGCCTGGGACCACTTTGAGCCATATCGTTATATTTTCATGATAATAAAAAGCAAATGAACATAGATTTTAAAAGCGGTGTTCAATATTTGAAATATTTGAGGGTATCTCACTGAATTGAAATCTATACCCTTCGTTTCACCCTTCCAACCCATTTTTATTGCCTCGCAGTGCATTTTTTAAACATTTGTGGATACTGTGCCACGATTTGTAGCCACGTCATAAGACTAGTTTCTTGTCCCCATCATCGGATCTGGCTTGATCGCTCAACTGTCACCAATTAATCACAATATTAACGTCTCAGTTCAGCAGACACGGTTATTCAAAACTCAACTAGCAAGACTGCTATCCATTATAGCAACCCGTCTAGTTTCGCAAAATTCACAGACAGAAGTGTAACCTTTCTCAAAAGTGCCAGTAAAGGTCAACTACCCCATGTGCTGGCAGGAGGCAGCTTGGTTTTACGTCTGGGATGTTTTCAGGAGGGCAGAGCAGGTGTTTTAAAGTTCCTCATTCTAATGAGGAATCTCAAGACGACCGCCTCAACAATTTATCACGACCCTTGGGATTCGAGGGAGGTAGGTATATTATACTCGAGGGACGCCTCTTTCAAGAAATCATTCATCTCAGAAGATCAATTAATAGTCTGAAAACACCAACCTGCTCTAAATCTCGCTGAATATCACATTCACATTTTATTAATTGGTTTCTGAGCGGGTTGGCTGGTTCTGATAACGCTAGCTAAAGTATAAAGGAATTGTATAAGGGGAATTAAAACGACGTGCTACTACCCTCACAGTATTTCCTCGGCAAACAACACATCTTGAAGTATAGCTTCTTAATAGCCATAAGTTTTAACAGAGTTAATGAATGTGCTGACCAGCACCGCGTACAAGCCATTTTCATGTATGAGATTGATAGTTAACTTCCCATTCCCTTGGGCTGGGTCGTCGCTGAATGGTTTCTTACACCATGGCATGACAGGGAATGGGTTAAACAATCCGATCTACACTTTGCTACAAAAGGTTCATTTGACGTCACTCCTTGAGATGTTTCTCTTTTTGAGCTATTTTTACACCAAAATAAAAAACAACTCTTGTACTTTAAAACTCCCGAAAACACTGGTGTCATTGTCGGTAAACAAGTAAACACTCTACTCTATGACACATTTTTCTGAACATTAAACAAAAAACGCACAATTAGTCATTGCAAACTACACCACCCTCTCCACACGTGGAACACTAAATCAAAAATGTCTATATTCTATTTTTTTAAAAGTAATATAAAGATTGTATCTTTAATGGCCTTGTCAACTTCAACCATGCCTATCGATATTATATACGTTCAAGTGAAAAGGTCTTAGTGTAGTTTATGATTTTTCTGTTGGTCTTTAAATCAATGTTCTGTTTATGAAAACGAAGAATTTTTCTTACTAATGGACTCTGAATGGTAATTACCCAACCTGACGGCGTGAAGTGATGGGCTGATAGGTTCAAATTGCACAGCCAAGGCCAAATACGACAGCATTAATTTACGAAAAAAATAAGGGCACAATGTCCAGGTGCGAATGATACATAATCCTACACAAAATACGGTTCCCGATTGTTCGGATACTTTTATAGCCGAATGGCACACAAAGCATTGATTGTACCACTTTGTCAACACCTCCAACTTACCTGCATTAGTAATTAAACAGTAACCTTTAAAATAAATAGCATCCAAAATGCGCGAATATGTTATATAATTATTTAGGAAGGGAGTGGACATTGTATTTTCTATTATGTAAACAGAAACATCTCAGTTACAATGACTCATAATCGAAGCAGTAAAAGTCTTCAATATGTTTTGATATAATTTTTAAATTGTACAATGTCAACATGATGTAAATAAATGCATAACAAATTAGCAAGCTCGAAATGAACTCTGTCGAGATAGGGGACGGCCTTATGAGTAAGGCCGTTATTTTTTAATAACGTTAAAGAAGGGAAAACACGCTGCCATATCGTCATATGGTTTGATATTCTACGGAAGGAAGTCAGGCCAGCAAAGTGTAAGCATATGGCGCATTGTGCGAGGCACGTTCACGTTCCCACACCGGTAGTGATAAACGATGTGTTGTCGGTGATAGGGGGGGAAGCGAATGTGTTTCCTTTGCACCGCTGGAATAACATTGACATTAGACGAGGAGCATTCAGATTTTAGAATAAGCATACAAAGCCTCTGGTGTCAAATGGTGCCATATGAAGAATGCACCTGCGCGATAATTGAGCTCTATGCGTGGAGTATCCAGTTATTTTCCATTTCATGCACGAGCTCGTGCAAACTTTTTCCTGAACGCAAATCTATCATCTTAATTACCTGACTGTCTTCTCAACCCAGACTTCATTTCATAACACCCATTATACATCCCTAACCTCACCCTGTTTGCTCTGATATCTTGCTCAAGAAGTCCGTGCACATTATCATAATAATAAGCATTTTCATTTATATAAAGTAACGACAGAACAATCTTTTGTTGGCTTTCACTAACTAATTATTTCAACTTACATTAAATTATTCGGGAGTGACGACATTATCAGTGACGTTGAAACAGCGGATTTTTTCCCTTTCATCGCATGCATTTGCAGGAAAAAGTACAAAAGCAGAATTTCTCAATCGCGGAGTTCACCACACAGGAATTTGTCTTCGGTCAGTTAGGGCACCGTTGAATTGAAAGTACCTCGTAACTCTTTGAAATTATTTCAGACTCCATCCCAATCGAATATTGATTTGAAAGTTTTCGTTTTCGCAAAGTGCAGCTGGGTGAATACGCGTTTCCAGATTTTCTTTTAACTTTCTTAATAACACAGTTGGTTTTTTTGAACCAAGGTTTAGAGTTACAAACATAGCCTGCACACTATTTGAGAAATAATCTACACAAAGTCTGTGACTACATGTACATGTTGTGAAAACTAGAATTTGGATGTGCTTGCGTTTAGCACATTAAAACCCGAAAACACCTCTAATCGAAAGGTCGTTTGTATCCCCATTCGTACGAAAAACAATTTGCATAGGTTTTCGCCTTTCCTTTCCTAGTTTTTTTTATTTTTTCAATCCTGCCCAATTTCGTTTTGCTCGTGAACATCTGAGGTCAACAGTTCCCTTCAGGTCCGCAGAAATGTGACATGTCTGTGCGGTGGTTATTTCGAGGGTCCACTTACCGTGGTTCTGAATCGATAACAGTGAGGAATACCGACAGAAACCCCAGGACACTATACAGTGACAAAGGAAAAAATAGAGAAACCATGGGTTGGAAGAGAGGGAACGGGGGTCTAGAATTTACTTACCTGTTCGATGAGAAGAGCTCGATATCATAGATTTGAGGCTGGCTGACGAGCCACCACGGTCCACAGGGCAGGCGAGCTGTCAGCCCCGCTGAGTAATCACGAGTGGACGACACTAAGGAAATCCAACCCCCGGAACGCACGAGCAAGGCAGACCCTAGAACAGCATGGACAAGCAGCAAGGCGTGTAAGTGCTCGTATGACGGCGAAATGTATCGAATGAGGCGTGTGAGTGTGTGTGCACGATTCCAGCTGGAGACAGACCAAAGCCTCATAACCCGCCAATCAGAGTGAAAGCTTCGGTAGTTAATCCGTTAAGGTCCGTCTGTTGGAGAAAGACTATACAGCTATCATACAGAGAACCGTTACAAATGATTCATGGATCTGGGACGGCGAAGGGATTTGGTTTCTTTACAAGGGTCATTTCCTAAACGAGTCTAGACGCCAAAGGTATTTAACTTGAAAAGTTATCAAGAACAAAAAAATCAAAATCACTTAGATTGGTAATAAGTCTAATGGCCAAAAGGATGACTTTTTATGAGAAATATGATTTTCATGAATAATTTATTCACGAGTTGACTCAGATTTTCAGAGGAGATGTAGTAATGTGAGTCCCCTTTTCAAGGGAGGTTTGAAACTCTCGGGCCAGCTTACACCTCAAGCAGTGAAGAACCAAACGGAGGAGGTGTGAAATTCTCTTAAAAAGGTTGTCGTCTGTCAAATCTGATTGACTCGGATTGGCATTCATGCTCTGAACAAAAGAATTTATAGGACAAGCCAAGAGTGAGCGTTTTGTTGTTCCAATTGTAAACATCTTAGAATCCAGCGTAATTCATTGAAGTTTCACGTAATGCTAGATGTTATTTTACTTATTCTGGGACGAGATGTATCCTACATGAAACCCCATACATTGCATAAGGGAATAACAATCAGTGTTTAATTATCATGCGTGTAAATCTGCATTGGACAGATGTATGTCCTAAAAAGGAAATCAACTTATGTGACTAACTCCTGTTGATAACTTCCTTTCACGCTATTATATTAATATAAAACAACTCACTGCTAAAAGCTGGAAGATTACTCTAAGGAAAAGGTAAACCAGGCTAATATCGGTGTCTGGGTGTACCGATATGGTGAGTGAAGCAAGGGTTGGGTAGCGCAGTGGTGGGGTTAGCTCCTAAATTCAAAGCCACGCGTTCGTTTTCACACTTTGTTTCTGGATAAACGAGTAAGTAGTGTATCTTTTGCTTTCACAAATATTTACTTCCAGATTTTGTTTCCTTAAAACTAGACGCATATGTAATATACACCTCTTCCTTTTTTTTGATCTGCCTCCCATTTTAAAATCATTTTAGAGGGATCAAAATAAGAATAATCAACCAAGATAACAGATAGACCAAGCAATTACAAATGTTCTTCTGATGGATATCGCTACTGCGATGACAAGAGAAGAGGTGCATAAGTATACACATTGGTTTCTGCACGTTTTTCAGAGAATTCCACCAACGACCAACTCCTCATGAAGGTCATGTCCGAGGAAACGGCTTCAGCAGGCTTGTCCACATATTTTCAGCCACATCAATGAGTTGTGTTTTTTTTTTCCTTCGGAGAATTTTTTTTCTTTCGACTTTCTCCTTCATACAAACTCGTATTGCGTGTAAACAGTGCAAGTTGCACTGCAACACGTCACAACGTAGTGGGGAATCTCCATGGTAACGAGATCATCAACAGACAACCCAGTCCGCCTGTCGTTCCACACCCTCGTGCCAGCGGAACTCCTCGACCTCACGCAGATCTGACAGAACGAAGATAAGACCCGTTGATTCACCATCCGTACCGGAAGAAGCTCATTTTGAAGCGGGGGGGTCAGGGGTTGGGACCGTAGATCTTGAGGGTCCTCCAGGGAACGACGTGTAACTAGGATCGCTCGTGGCGTCATCAGTCATTCACAATGCGAAAGTTGCGATGGTTTATCTATAAGCAGCGGAATCGTGGGTCAGTTGTATCCAGATCGGGAACACTAACTCCCAATATAAATCTAATCTACAGTGTTCAAGCCCATTCCATATTTCAAACGAAGCAGTTTTTTTTCGGTTTCTCCAAATCTACAATATTCTTATGCCGCCTGTATACATTCCAAGTCTAAATCTGCCAACTTTTTTTGCAAAAATTGCTATTAGATAATTTTGTCAATAAGTCTCCCAATTTTTTGGATGGCGTTAAGATCCAAATCGACATTCCATTTTCATGGAAACCGACAGGAACTTGTTTTCTATTCTGGTTTTAAGCTTCTTCGTTTTGGGCACTTGTTTATGAGACGTTTGAAGTCAGGCGATGCATACGCGAAGCATAATACAAGACAATGCTGGACAAAACATAAGAAAGTCTCAGAGATTTCTCTACAAAGAGTCAATCACAAAATCTTTCAATGGTCAATGACTGAGCGATTATCGAGGTTTGCAACAGAGTTATCCTGAATTTGCCGTGGGATGACTAACGCTAGACGACAGCAGGCAACCTTGACCGCGATTGGAGCAACACTCGCAAGCACATCCGAAATTTAGCCTTAAGACGCCACACTAGCAGAGCAGGGAGATCCATGACCACGAATACACATGCAAAATCGTAAAGAACAAATAAAAAATATAACAAATACTGTACATTCCTGAACAAAAACCGCAAGCTTGGGTAGGACTAACCAGTTAGCACCTGAAGAAAAAAATGCTTATCCACAGCAAGGCACACGCGTTATGTATTAGCTCAGAGATTTCAAGTCAATAATGAAAACTTCAGATCAACTGTTGAAAAGCGAATCTAGCCATGATCGTAGGGGAAAACTACAGGCCTGAATCCAATGAGGGGGCTGTAAAGCAACCTATCCTTAAATTTGCATCAGTAGGAGTTCAATTTTTGCCTGTGTTGCAGTTTTAATCCCAAAACTTATGTTGTGAATTCCTGAAAAGCCAAGCGCAAAACAAAATACATTTTGGATTATGAAGACCCGTCCACTGCACTAGAGGGTCAAAAAGCTTGGTATTTCCCTTGAAAAAAGCACGCATCCCATAACGAATGAAAAAAGAGCTGCTGGACACTTTAACTAAACTGAGCTAAAGCAGTTAATGTTTGAGATTTGTACAAAGTAATGCGTCAGAGCTCTGGTACAATACACGCTGTGGACCCCGCTGGCTTGGTGTTGTGAGCAATCCAGTACTCAAAGGGTAATATCCGGATTGTTAAAGCTGGGAAAATAGAAGGAGATTATGGGATCGTCCAGACACCGACATCCTTTCACTGCATGAAAGACAAGTTATTCTGCCAATCAAACTGTGGCAGGCCTTTCTTAAGATCAGTAAGTAGGTGCATGAGAAGACCGGACCACTGAAATCAAGAGCAAATTTGAGGACTTGAGGCAAGTCTATCAATACTTATTTAAACAATGATGGCAACCAGCAACAAAGTTCAAGTACGATGAACTTTACTTCACCTAAATGCAGTGAACATAAGTCTTGCACATATTAAAAAACATTAAAGCATAAATAACATAAAAACTAGCCAAGTGAATTTGACATCATCTTAGCTCATGCAACGGTAAACAGCTTCCCAACTGAAACTTGCCGATATTACCTTCTCATCACACAACACAATGTAAACACAGCTTACTCATTCGATCATTCACTGCTTAGAATTGTCAGTACTTGACATCGAAATGGCAATCTCTCTCCCACTTTTTAATCTTTGTTATACTATGACAGTTTTGCTTATTGTTCACAATCTCCTTATAAAATTAATGACAATTCCTAAAAAAAATTAATAGAACATTCAGTAGGTGTAATTTGCGAACAAAATTCCTGGCTACTTGTTCCCTGAACCTGTTCCATGATATAAAAGATAACACTGCACAGCGCTGTTGAGCTTGTGTGATAAAACGCAATTTAGTGTTTCCAATACAAGACATTTACGACTAATAAAAGAAGTCCCTTGATGATTTACAGCCTTCCTTCAAAGATAAGCTCTAAGGCAGCTTGTACATTTCCACCGGTCACCTGGAGAGCCTGCAGAGAGACGGTATCGTCAGTGATGCCCATGCTACGAAGCTGCTGTAACTGGACCTGTGGGAAGAGAAAGGAAAGGAGGCAAATAGAGGCAGGGATCCAAAATTAAATGAATCATTTAAAAAAATGTAATGTTTGTCTTATCCGTCTTAAGCACAAACACCGCCTCATTGGTTGAAAAGAGCCATATTGGTCAGGAGCGTTCATTTGTTGGTGTGTGGTCAGAAGAGTTCATTTTGTCCACCTGACTAAATGCATGCATTTCATAATCATTTGTGAATATGCGAGGTGCAGTTCCTACGTTGTACCAAAGTAGCCTTCATTACTAGGAAAATTGCATCGTCTCTTGGTCCAGCTCGGGGCTTACTAAAAGACTAATCATTCATTTTGGGCTACATAGCACATTACTACTCACACAATGTTGCTAAAGAGGTGGCATTATTACCCCTGCTTAACAAACTTACACACAATTGAAGCGGCAGCACATTTAGTCAATGTGTCGCTGGCATATCTGTTGCACTTCTTTACCTGAAGCTGCTGAGCAGACAGCGTGCTTCCATCAGAATGGTCAGGTGCCTGTCTGGAGGTGGTTGTTCTCGCTGTTGCTACCTGCTGGTGCTGCTGTAGAGCACGGGCTAAAAGGTCAGCCGTTATGAGGCTGCTTGATGACTGACCTCTGACCCTTGACCCCGAGGATGATCCCTGACCTTGACTGGATGTAGAAGTTGATGGCTGAGAGGTTGTGACTGCTTGGTTTTGGGGTCGGGGTGTTGCACTATAGGGCTGAAATGTGCCCTGGAAGGATACAGATGGGATTTTTACCTTAGACTGTAACCTAAGCAGCCGCAAAGTTCAACAACTCACACTGAATTCATCCTAAGCAGTGATGGTTAGTTTAGCTTAGTCAACTTTTCCAGAATGGCCTACTAATGATGGTCACTACACTGGTTAAAGGAACAAAACTCCTGTGTGCCCAGCTTACAATTAAGTGTCATGAATTTCAAAAAAGTCTGAATTTTAAATTTTGAATAGGCTAAAATGTTGCACTGGCAATATTTTAAACCAACTGTATTGCAAAAAAAAGGAATTATAAAAAATTGCCCAATCTGACAATGGAATGAAATTTCTCTTATGAGAGTTGTGCTGAATCAACATTTCTAGAGGTTTAGGATTTCAGTTTCCTTTCTTGCGGAGTTTTCTCCGCTTTTTTTCTTATTTAAGTTGTTTGAGCAAAATTTGACTCAAAATTGCTTACACTTGAACAACTCTGCAAAAGAGAGATGTACATTTCTATAATCTTGAAGGAAACTTGCTCTTAGTCTAGTGGTAGAGAAAAGGGTCTCGAAAAGGGTCATCAGTTCAAATGCACTGCTATTATAATCAGCCAGTTTAGTATTTCCGATAGGCCAGGTTATGTAACAACAAGACACACCTAACGTCAAACCAGCTTGAACTTGCTCAGTGCGTCTGGTCATGTAAAATGCTTGCATCAGTTTTATGATAATTAACTTAATAGCTAAGCCAGTCTGAAGAGACACCTTTTTTTACGTAAATGTTCTATTCCTTGTACCCCCGTTGAGTACATCACAAACCAACTTCAGTATTCAAGGAAACATCATCTCTAGACATGACTCAAGTCTATACATCCCCACAAGAAGTTTAACTCTGATGGTTCCTGTTACCCATCTGCCTGAGTCAAGGTAGTCTTTCTAATATACTTTATAAAATTACATGTACTGATTTCACCTTGAAAACACAATTGCTCTCAAGACCAAATATGTTCTCACATAAATGTTCAGCCAACTGTTCCCCTTGAAATTGCCACAACAAAATTGCTGAAATCCGATTGCTGTGTCAATGCCACATCATGCTGAAGTTTTATCGGGGTCAGGTTACAAGACGGCCCTTCCCGTTCCTAAAATAAACCCACAGTAATTGTGCACTCTACTGAGGAAGGAAGGGAAAAATGCTTTGTACCAAGAGCAGTGTCCGAACGTCATGTCTGAAACCAAGACACTTGCACCATTGTAAGAGTTACGCCCACTTCCTACTTGGAGTCCTTGCCCCTCCCCTAAAGATTGTCTAGACAAGTTCTTAGGTTAGCTGAAGCACTGACGGCAATGATCAAGACTGAGATTAAGTATCAAATACGATGGAATTATATACTGATCTATTTGGAACAAAATGAGAATGACTTATTTGCTCATAACACCAATCTTCAGTTTAGCAACATTTTTACAAATGGAACAGTCCAATCTGACTTCCTTTGCTATCTTTTTTCCTACTGTATGTATGCCACCCTTACTGTCTTAAGCTTTTAAAATCCTCCACAGACAGAAAACACAAAACCACATCCTTTGTTAGAAAGCTTTCTGAGGGACTTGAAACTCTAAATTAGGTAACAGTGGCTTGGCTGTACCTCCTTCAAGCCTGACTAAAACCTTCTGATTGATTTGAAAGAACTACAAGGGTAAAACATGTAAGTATAAGCAAACTATTCTTTGCAAAAATGCACATTAATCTGAATTCAAGACGTTAACAAGATATAAAATTCTTTGAATACCAACAGCTGAAGTCTTTTCAGGAGGAAACAGGAGGTATTCATTCCTTTCAAACTAAACAAGAGAAAATGCTGAAGCTTACCTGAGTATTAAAAGCACCTGCACTGCTTCCTGCTGAACCTACACCGGCACCTGCTAGAGCAGCACTCAGCTGAGC